TCAGTAGAATAAGCATTTGCCTGGCAAGCGCAAAGGTCTGAGTTCAATCCCCAGTTCCACAAAAAAAAAAAAAAGAAAAAGAAAAGAAAAGAAAGCCGCCCACTGAACTTTACAAGGCTTTATTTTTTGACAGTCGTGGCATTTGACTACTGGTATAGGATATCTTTAATTATTACTTTTATTTCTTAAAAGGCCTTTTTCAATTTTAAGTCAAGGCTTTCATTTTTACTTTCTTGGTAATATATAAGAACTATCTTAAAAGGATCTCAGTTCTGAATTTGTGTAGTGAATCTCTGACATTCCTTAGTTAATCAAAAATTGCTAGACTGGGACTAGGGAGATGACTCAGTGGAATAAGTGCTTCTCTGGCAAGCACAAGGGCCTGAGTTCAATCCCCAGTTCGGGGGGAAAAAAAAAAATAAATAAATAAATAAATAAATAAATAAAAAAAAAATTGCTAGACTGAGATTTTTTTGAAGTCTTTCTTATGGTTCTAAAATGATTTTTAGGGGGCCTGCCCCTTAGCTCAGTCCTTTAAGTGGCTGCTTCAACAAAGCAGTCAGGCTCAGGTTGCTGTGGCTCAATCCCCACAACTCAAGCCAGCCAAACTTGCCCTGAAGGCATTCAGAAAAAAAAAATCATTAAAATGATTTTTGTGTCAACACATAAACAAACAGATTAATTAAGCCTTATTTAACTAAAAGCTTCCTAATAACCTTGCTAAAAACTCTGAATCTATCCACTGTTTTGCTTTTGGTTGATTTGCATTTGATTCCTTGTTTTGAAAGCAGTTTCCTTTTGTCTTGCCTATGTGGTAGCTTTCTTCATTCCACCATATTTTTATGTCATTAAATCACTGAAGATATATTTTTAATATCACTCTAAATTCTTTATTTTTATTTACTTATGAAAATTCTTATTTTTATGCTGTATGCAAATTAGTGTTGCTACCTTTTAAAAAGATATAAAGCATCACCCTACAGTTATATGCCATCCTAAGAGGTCTACTTTTTTTTTTTTAATTCTTCTTAGTGGTTAATTGCTGTACAAGTACTTATTTTTATTATTATTATTATTTCCATAAAAATGGAATAAGGATTTTTTTTTTCTCTGAATGCCTTCAGGGCAGGTTTGGCTGGCTGGAGTTGTGGGGATCGAACTACAGCAACCTGAGGCTGACAGCTTTGTGGAAGCAGCCACGTAAAGAACTGAGCTAGGGCCAGGCACCCGAGATTTGCTTATTTCATCTTTTATAAAATCTCTAGTTGAACTGACCTGTAGTTGTTAATGGCACTAACAGATTTGCCAAATGGAAATACTCACTATTGGCTTTTTCCTACTCTTTATTTTAGTGATCTTTTCAAAGAACCTTTTGTTTACATTGTCATCAACAAATTCATAATGTTATTATATACCATAGATAATTTTCTATTTTTCATACAGTTTTATTTCAAGAATTCACTGTACATGGTTTCTTTGTTTTTATTACATATGGAAATTTTAGTGATGTTAATTATTCATTGTTTCAGTTGTTGAACATTTATCTCCTGGGATAACATGCAATCAAAGCAACCTTTGAAATAGATTTTCTTTCAGAGCTTTTATTAAACTTCTCAAATTAGTCTGTTTCCATGAGATGTCTATTTTATTTGAATAAACTGTGAAGTTAGGAATCAAATTCCACTTTTGATAAACTCATTCAACATACTATTTAACAAAACAGAAACCTCTGTATTTCTACCACCTTGAAGCTGTAATTAAAATCAGTCATGGAACAGATACCTCTGAAATGAAGTTTAAGAGTAATTTCTGGCATGGTGGCACATGCCTATGTTTTCAGCTACTTGAGAGGCTGGAGAATCACAAGTTTAAGACAGGCTAGGCAATTTTACAAGGCCCTTGCTCAAAATTTGCGATAAAAATTTTAAAACGCGTTGATATATATGTCAGTAATAGACCACTTGCCTGGCATACCCCAGCCCTGGGTGCAGTCCCCACTACAGCAGTCAGTCAGCTAATCCATTTGAAGAACAGTATCTTGAACGTGTCCTTTTGTCTCTTTCCCTATTGTCATGATAAAATAGCCCAAAGTTGGGCAAAACCCCCCGATATTTTTTCTGAGATGAAATCATCAGTTATTCTCTAAATGCAGCTTCAGAGCCATCCATGTGAGAGTCACTTTAGGGGCCCTTATTTTAGCAATCTATATCTGTTGAATTAAAATTGGGGGTGTTTTGACAAGAATTCATATTATACAGAGGTGTAGTAGACTTTAAAAGCCTTAGAACATAATCTCAGATTGAAGTATTCCTTTTATTTCCTATTTAGTTGTGTTTGTCTTAACCTTCCCTGCATTTCTTTTCCCTCTGTATCTACCATTGTAACTTTTGTTATGATGGGCCTCAATTTCAAGAAATTAATAAAACATTGGTTCCATAATAACTTTGAAGAAAATGATTAGAATCACAGTGCATTTGATTTCCTATAAAACAAACAAAATATAAAATACATGGAAAGATCTACTTCTTACCAGCCTGTATTATCCTGCTTTGATTTTTTTTTTTTTTTTTTTTTTTTTTGCGGAACCGGGGATTGAACTCAGGCCCTTGCGCTTGCCAGGGAAGCACTTATTCCACTGAGCCATCTCCCCGGCCCCTGATCTTTCATTTATTCATTTTATCTTAACAGTGTTTAGTATTGTTTAAATGAATAATATGTATACATATGAGCAATTCACCTTACCTAAATAACTTTTTTTTTTAGCATACTGTGCTTAGCTTTCAACCTAATCAATGAAGATTTTGAATAAAAATGAATTGCTGTCCATATCAGAGATGTAATTTAAAAATTCTTATAAAGTATTGGAGGCTTTTGTGTTATCTCCTTACTCCTTATAAAACTACAGGGAGATTTTCTGTCCCTGGGTCTTCCCTATTTCAGAGAATGTAAGGTCTGATCTTTCTTCAGTTATTCTTCATCCAGTCATGCGGTCACATAATTTCCAAATACTTTCTATGGGCCAGGTCAAAAACATTTCATTTTCCAAGTTCCATTTACCACGTTTCTCTTTGGTAGTCTTTTATGTCAGGAAAAAAAAAAAATCTTAAGCAAATCACACTAGTTTTCTCATTCATCTTTGAAGTTGGATTGTTTTAAATGTTATTTTACTTGAATTACTCTGATTTTGTTGTTGTTCTTACTATCAGCAGTTAAATGAAAAACATGTTTAAAAATATTTTCATAAGGAACATGCTGAAAATCTAAGACCATCTTTTTCTTTATTTTTCTTTAATCTGACTGCATTTAAAATTCAGAACTGGGTGTAGAGGTTGAGGCAGCACGATCACTGTAAGTTCAAGCCCTGATTGAACTACACAGCACAACTTTTTCTCAGAAAAGCAAAAAAACCAAAAAACTTCAATTAGAATTTATTCTTTTTAGTTTTTGTATTTTTTTTCTTTGACCAGACTGTTAAGTACAGCCTCTTGTTCACTATAATATTTATGTGTGGATTTTCTGTTTTTGGTTTTTTGTACTGGAAATCAAACTCAGAACCTTATGCTTGCCGGGCAGGTATAATGATTATTAATAATTTACCCTTTTAGTAACTTATTTGTAATATAAATTAGATGAGCTCTGACAAATGCTCAGTCCTAACTGCCACTAAAATCAAGGTGTAGACAAACTGTACCCCAAAATGTCCCTTATTGTGCTCCTTTATACCACCTCCAATCTCTGGCAATGATTGATCTGCTGTCTGTCCTTGTTGTTTTATATTTTACAGAATGATATATAACTACAATTATATTGAGTGGAGCAATATTTGCTTGTATGTTGGAGGAAAATTTGGGAGTTGAACCTTTGGCCTTCTGCATGCTGAGCAAATGCTTTGCCACTGAGCTATATACTCCCATCCCAGTTTGCGTCTTTTTTTTTTTTTTGGCGGAACCAGGGATTGAACCCAGGCCTTTGTGCTTGCCAGGGAAGCGTTTATTCCACTGAGCTATCTTCCCGGCCCCAGTTTGCGTCTTTTTAATTGCATAATATTCGATTGTATAAATATGCCAGAGTTTGATTATTCATGCAACAGTTGATGCACTTGGGGTTCTTTATTTTTCTGCCTGTTATTGACAAAATCAGTGTAAACCTTTTTTTTTATTTTTTTATTTATTTTTTTATTTTTTTATT